GATTATGCAGTTGCATTCTCTTTTGGCATCGGACTCTGAACTTAGGAAGAAGTCCCTACCAATGCCAATGAATGCAGCCGGTGTTCACTTGCAAAGGGTCAATCAAATGAACCAAAGAAGTTCACAGGATTTGATTGAGAAAGATATGGTTAATAGTCGTAGTCCAAGTAATGAATCGGCTTCTTCTTCGCCATTATCTTCAATACCCTTGTCTAATATGGATAGCTTTCTTAATGCTTTGTGGGGTTTGTCGCCGAAGGTCATGGTGGTTACTGAACAAGATTCAGACCACAATGGGACAAGTTTAATGGAGAGGATATCAGAATCCTTGTACTTCTATGCTGCATTGTTTGACAGTTTGGAGTCTACTTTGCCAAGAACTTCTTTGGAGAGATTGAGGATGGAGAAGATATTAGGTGAGGAGATTAAGAATATCATTGCTTGTGAAGGCGCAGAGAGGAAGGAAAGACATGAAAAGCTTGAAAAATGGGCTCAAAGATTTGATTTCTCTGGTTTTGTGAATGTTCATTTGAGCTACTATGCTATGTTGCAGGCAAATAAATTGCTACAAGGTTACAATTGTGATGGTTACAAGATCAAGGAAGAGAATGGTTGCGTAGTGATTTGCTGGCAAGATCGACCCCTTTTAGCGGTATCAGCTTGGAGATTTAGGAGGGGAATTCATGACTGATTTACCATATACATTTTGTTAAATCTTCTTCTGCTGTTGTTAATTAAGGGCAAATCTTGGTTTTGTTGCATGTAGAAATGGATGGTTATAGACTTTGTAAATTCTTTGTTGTTTTCAAGATCTGTATGAACTTGGAAGTTTTATCGAGTAGATTTTTTGTAACTAATTTCTTATATTTCGTTATATTTGCATCAAACTTGAATTTTCGCTTTCTCGTATTCAAGAAAAGACTTTCGTTATATTTTCAGAATCTTGGAATCGGTTTTACTTTAATCGCATTCTCGGGATTAAAGAAAATGCTCTTCATCATAGGGTTACAAAGAGTACATCTGATTGTTCAAAGACCAACTAGCTATAAGGTTGAATTGTCTCTTTATATGATTCTAGCTTGTATTACGGGTGGCAAACGAGTCGAGTCGCTTGTTGACTTGTGCGTTCGGGTCGGCCCATGAGTCTTTCGGGCTCGTACCGAGACAAGTCATGGGCATAATTGAGTTCGATTTTTTTATAAGCTGACAGTCGACTCGTGTCCACATGAGCTGAAGGGTCAAATAGAGTCTTGTTTGTGGACATGAGATGAGCCAATTTGATTCGGTCCATTTGTCACCCCAAATGAAAATCAAATTTGTGTCAATTATTTGTCTTTGTCCTTTAGCTATCTCAAATTAAGTTCCAAGATTTCAAAAAGTGGTTGAGCTAAGCTTCTCGTCGTCACTGTGCTACTAAACATTGTTTAATAAATTTGTGATCCCACATAAGTACCTATCAAATACATTGTTACCCATTGTCAAAAGTAATGGTTGACATTTAATTATTATTATTATTATTATTATTATTATTATTATTTTGGGTGTGATAAAGATAAGAGGGTTTTCTTTTTTACTTTTTCCTTCCAAGGAAGCTTGTTTTCATATAACCATGGGCCGTCCAAAAAAGCCCTTTAATTTCTCTAGTGGGACTATCAAAAGAGAAAAAAAGGCCCAAACCCAATCAGGCTTTTATATTTAGGAAAAAATTCACATTTAACCAACAAAAATAAAATAATTAATGATATGCTACTAGATATTTTATTTACTATAAATACTGAATATTATACTAAAATAAACCAAATTACTAACTCCTATAATTTCTCTAATTTTTGTAACCGAAGGACATCATCAGCTAATTAGGATGTTTTATGTGGAAATTCCAGATTCTAATAGATTAAAAATCACAATTTCATAAATAAGATGCAATGTTTAATATTTCACAAATCAGATTTTTTTAATTAATTAATATATTTAAAAATTAATCTAATAAATAATAATTTCATACCCTAATTATTCTTCCATTTTCATTTCCCCCCATCCCCAATTCTCTCTCTCTCTCTCTCTGAACGCTGCCTGGACCGGCAATGGAGAACCGATGGTGGTTGTGAGGCTCACCGCCAGTCACCGTTGTCGCCCAGTCCTATCACCCACCCCTCAATCTATTTCACCCTAGAATGAGTGCAAATCGCCGGCCAAAAGAAGCACGAATCACAGCGAACAGATCTACCTTTGCTGTGCCGACGATGCACCAGAGACTTGGGTTTTTTTTGTTTTTTTGTTTTGTTGTGGTGGTGCTGGTGATAGAGTTGTGTGGTAGCGGTTTTGTAGTAGTAGATTTGGTGGCGCAGTGAAATAAGTGCATTTGCGAAGCAGATCCACCAATGGAGGAGCTGCTCCGTTGCACGTTGACGAACTGATGGCAAGGGTTTTTGGCGTCGAATTTGGCAGCGATATAGCTGTGAACAACGAGATCCGGCGACTACCTGTAGCTGCAGCGATTTGGCAGTGAACGACGGGATCTGGCCGCGATCTGCAGCAACGACTATAATGAGAGGTTATGGTGGTGGTGACAAAGGTTTTCTGTTTTGTTCCAGATTTGCAAGGCTAGCGGTGAGGTGGTGGTGATGGCAGTGGTGGTCGTGGCTGTGGTGTGGTGACTGCGGGTGGTAGGGTTTGTGACCATTTTGGGTGGTGGTTGTTTTGGTTGTAGATTAGCGGCGACAGTGGTGGCGTGAGGCT